TATTCGCAGCACGTTACCGGGTCGCTGTCGCTTATCCCGTGAGAATCCCGGGATGAGATTAGATCGAGAGTATGTATAGTTCCCCTTGCGATTTCACATAGCACGACATTCGGTGCAAATGCATATGCTTACCGCAGATAGTCTAGCCAATAACAATATATAACCAGGAATATATACAACGTATATAGACCTCCTTGTGAGCGCTCTTTACCCTTAGGACGCACCCATATCGAATTCGAATAGTTGAATTCGATCTCGATAAGCGTTAAATGAAAAGAAGTTTTTTTTTGAAATAATTTTGATTCCCGTTCCATCTGTTGTGGCGCTATTTAAGTTTCCATACAAAACATCTTGACATTTGACTCGGTATCGAGATCGCATTCAACTATTCGAATTTGTTACTTCTTCAAAGTTGCTTCGTTCTAAGAGTATTGTTTTTCTGTGCCAGTTGTCACTCTTCTTACTTGTATTTGGATGTCGATAAATAGTTGTCAAAAAGTTTCAGTCGTATAATCTATGAGCTGCAAATTGCCTGAATGGGATCCATCTCGATAGGTAGAGTCGTCGTTCGATCGTTTTGCAAAAAATAATAATTTTGACCGTGTATGTTTACTAAAATGTTCAACTGTCTACCTAATTATAAAAGAAACTATATTTTTCCCTTCTCTCTTATCTCATGGTTCATATGTATCTTCATATTGAATCGATAAATCCATCCCATGCTTTGTAAGACAAAGGAAATTGCTAACCCTGAGTTTTGGCTTAGTAACGTAATATTATTTTGAAGGTAGGTCATTATGTAATGCTTTAACAAAGGGATATTATATCTAATACCCAGAGTCATGTTGCCCCTCTCCGTCTCTTATTAAGTGGCACACAAAGCCCACAGGGTACGGAACACGGATATATTTCACAATAGAACAAAGTATTTTATTTTGATTGTATTCCTTGTCGTAAATATGATTATAGAAACACAGCCTTTTTGGGTAATCTTACTTTTTTCGTATTTCTTAAATGTATTTTTAACCCTTATCTGCTTCACAGTAAATTCAAAATCGAATAAAGCTGGATACATATATTATTGGTACGTATTTGATTTTCAAATCAAATTGCCATCACCGTGCGCATTATCAACAGCACAGCTGGTTAACCAAAAACTGTTTAATGAAGTCTAATCACTTGTCAATCATAAATTAAGCAAAATAATCTTCAAAGTCAATTGTAAAAAAATTACATCAGAAAGCAGAATTTCGCGTACTAGTTCAGGTGTTTTTTCATTAAAGTTCTGTATAATCTATACTTTTATACATTTGTCTTCTATAATGATCGACTTATTGTTCCTTGAACGTAAATTTATTTATTTACCTGTCGTAAATATACATGTGTTCAGTTCCAATAATGTGACACTTTAACAACAGTGTAACAATTAGTTTAATTTAGTGCGAGTACTGTGGGCCTCATAATAAGGCTTAGAAACATCTATCATAACGGGCCGCTACTATAAGGAAAACACATTAAGTAATTTAATAGTCACAATATTTGTATTGTGACATATAACCTCAAAAAGGTTCAAAAGACCGAAAAGGTTCTTTCTACCTATTGGTCTTAGATCCGAACCTACATCGACCTTAATCGAGCTGATAATAGAATGAAACATATTTTATCATAAATTTAGTATATTAGAAAATATATTAAAAATGGGTTGCCCAAAAAAAATTTTTAGTTAAATGTTGAAACTTCAAGATAGTAAGAAAATGTTGTCCTAAAAACAGTTTAAAATGTATAAAATGTGCAGCCCTTGGGTTGTCTATTATTTACCTGGGTGAACTACTGGGTTGCCAGGTAAAGACAGGTAAGTCGATGCCAGTTACGTTAGCCAACGGCTGCAGCTTCTATACGTTTTATAATTTAAGTCATGACAACATTTTCTTATTATCTTGATGTAGCAACATATTTTTTGAAATCATTTTAAAAAAAATATTAAAAATATTAAAAATATTTTTTATATATTTATAGTCTATGCAGGGTTTTTTTAGCCAACCCATTTATAATATTTTGTAATATACTAAAGTCATGATAAAATAAGTTTCATTCTATTATCAGCTCGGTGAAGGTCGATGTAGGTTCGGATCTTCTACTACATAGAAAGCGAAGAAACTGATGAATTTCATCAAAAAAATTTATCGATTACAAATAATATAATCTTGTCCCTCTTTTTTACTATATTATGTCTGTATATGTATTATCTAGTTTTAAATGTATAATATTATGACGAAGTACCTATTTAAAACTTTTCTTTGTCTTCAAATTAATGCAAGAGTTTAAGGTTTTTACAGAGTCAGTGTCAAAATTAATGATAAGAATCGAACAATAGCCGTTTTTATGACCATCATAACTCCCTTTGCTTGTGCAAGGCCAGTTGACTTAATCTTTTCTTTAGGAGATTAAGCACGACCGCCATTTTCCCGACCCCACTAAGTAAACACCATTGTTATGGGCACCACTCTTATTTAAAAACACTTGATATTTCCAGAATGTATTTCACCTCATTGTAACTATAAATAGGAGCTTCATGGCGCTTCTATCTTTGTGGAAGTGAAGTAACTTTTGCAATGGCTGGTCCTAGGATAGGTCACCAAAAATTCCAAGCTTATTGATCCCCGCAATATCTGCTGTCATTAGCAGCCACCAATCCACACTACGCCCGCGTGTGGGTATGGCATATTTTCTCTATTTCATCCATCCTTTTTTTGTGACGCAGGCAAAAACCTCTATTTACAGACGACGGCGCCTTTAAGAGGCACCCCTCCGAACGGGCCTCACACCTGGCTCCCGCAAGCCTTACGGACCCCCGCAGTGGCTGCCCACTGAATATCCGCAAAAAAACCCTGCGCAAAACCCTCTAAGCTGCTTAGTGCAAAGCCGGGGATTCTTCCGCGTTATCCATGGGGAAGACATGTACTCCAGTAGTCGAGACGGAAGAACTATTCACTACTATTGTAACTTATTTTGTAATTACGCCCATGTTATGAGATATCATTATATTACATACTATAATAACATTCACATACGTTATCAAAAATCGACGTCCCCAAACTTTATTCTTAAGTAAATTGGAATTATGCTGAAGTCTCAAGGCTGGACTGTAGCTATTATATTGCGCTATCTTTTAACTGTCCTTTAAAGCACAGTTGTAGTTAGAGCCTTTCAACAGGCAAGATAAATTCGGAAATTTGAAGCATAACTGGGGAAGTAAACACTACCTTACAGAAGAATTCAGTAAAATAACAAAACCACCGTACTAAACTATGAATTAGCGACTGTTGTGCGAATCCGGGGTGTTTGATAGTTTATGATTAGGAATGCAACAATGCCGATACGGTAATCGTATATCGGCGATTATTGTGAGTTTTTACGATCATTCGCCATCGTAAACATTGGGATACGATATACATAAACGATATATTATTTTTCAATATTTTACATTTTTACAGTAGTTACCACAGTTTTGAATATAAGGAAACGCATAACGCGTCAATGTCTGAACACACCCGATTCTGTTTGGCATTGACAGCTGAACCGAAGAAAATCGAAAGAAAATAGAGTCAATTAAAATGATAACTTAATTATAAAATGAAATAAATGGATAATGCAAAATTAGATTGTTTTACCTGTATTTATATAAACTCACTTCACAGACAAAGTGATACCAACAAAGTTACAAATAAATAAATATAAATGCTATAAAACAAAAACTGTAATGCACTCGTATCGTAATTTGCTATCGTATTGAGCCATAACGATGTATTCGTATTGGTATCGTTATAGCCGCATCGTTGCATTCCTAGGTATTTATGATATTAAATTAACATGAAACAAAAAAAATTTGGTGTTTTCCTATTTTTAGGTGATCCTGGCCCCACCTTACCACCTCTGACCACGGACCTCTGTAATTTTAAAATTGGATTTGATTCGGAAAGAAAAAATAGATTTCTTTCGATGTTTTAGGTGACTGGATTCAGATTTAGCGACCACAAATTAGTATATGACCAAGTACCTAGGCTTGGATTAGAAGAATAACAACAAAAAAATACGGACAACTCCGTGCAGATATACAGACAGACTTGAACCACGTTATAGATTCCAAAGGTGTATCACTATCGAACATAGCAAAAAAAAAAGTTTACTTTAGATTTTTTTCTCTACTCTACTTCAATGAAAATTACAAGAAAGAGGTTTTATCATTTGACGATTTATTGATATGGTAATTAAAGGTACAATTCCACAATGGGCTGCAGACTGCAATCGCAGGCGATACTGCGGCTAGCGCCTGCGGCTGACCGCTGGCTGACTACATAAAATGGAAAAATATGGGAGTTATCTCATTCGAGTATTGACAGATTTCGATGAGATCAAACTATGGTATCTAATGATTCAAAACTTCAGTGCGACATCTCTGCGGTTGGCGACACCTCTGGAATTGCAGTCTGCGGTCGCTGCACACTGCAGCCGCAGACTACGCGCCGCGGCTGCAGGCCGCAAGGCAGGGATCAAGTTTTTGAATAAAACCGTTTAACAAAGGACAAAAACAAAATAACATAGCTCTGATAAAGCACACGTATCACGTGGAAAATTAAAAGCTAAAAAAATAAACTATTTATTGTTGTTAAAGTATACGTTTTATTTAAGCTGTGGTTTACAACTTTTAACAACATGTGTAGTTTCCATGAAACTTAATGGCTTGTTTTGAATATTTACACATAAATGAAAATGCGATTACACCTTGCTTACATATAGCCCTGAGAAATATTAACTTCTTTGAAGTATGCATCAAGAAAGATATATTAAATATTTATAAAACGAACAGTTCATGCAGCAAGTAACTACAATACAGTTTACAAATAATAAAATATTCCTTAACCTATTTTTTACACAGTAAAATATTTTCGTAGAAATTTCACATAGCTATTATTTACCAAAAGACTTAATAAATACTTCTTTCGTGTCTACCTAATAACACAAATTTATAAAATATACAGGGGCCGTTCGTCCAATTACAAAGTTATCCGTTGATATCAAAACTGATAACATTATGGGTTAAATTTGAGAAGTCAGTCTTTATCTCACTAACATTTAGAGAGCCGCAAACTAAACGTGACTGTATGTACACAATGTGTTAACGGAATTGTGATCTGAAGATTCCAGTAGTTTCTCGAAGGAAATATTTGGCGTTAATTTAGCCTTATGTCTGGATACTTTGGATTTTCTTCGGTACCCATCATATTTTTCAACAGGCAAAACAGATAGAATCCTATTCCAAAAATCGGTTTCACCCCAAACCACCGATGTACGCATATCTCTTTGCTCTTTTAAGAAAGCGTATATTGAATTTTCAGGACCTACATCGGCGAACACATAAACAGTGTTTTTCGCCTTCAACATTTCACCGTGAATTTTCTTTATATTCACGTGACTGTAAGCTGACGTTAAGTAGTTTGGGGAAAACACGACAACTGTGGTGTATTTGTGTGCATCCTTGACACACATTTTCAAATTTTTTATGAATTGCTTGTTCCTGGTGTTTGTGATGGGATTCATGTGTATCTTTATCTCCTTTTGACTTTTCAATCCTGGTATTACCTCTTTCAGTATGAACTCTTCATCATGTTCACAATATTTCACCATTATGTCCGTTTCGTTTAAATGTTGTTTCGTTTCATTATTTTTATTTCGTCTCCTGCAGAGTTTTTTCTTTATCAATGTATTCACTTGTTTTCTATATATCACGAACAAAATGAGTACAATTATATATAATGAAACGAATATTGTTATAATTGAAGCAATTATCATAAATCTCATACGGCAGGATTCTCTTGACCAAAAAGGACAGCTGAAGTAACCTATATCAACGACCTAAAAGAAAAGTAAACGGTTATATTTACACCTTTGACTGCAAAATCATTTTAATTTAAATACAATATTCCATTTTTACCTCAGTTTTCGAATCTTCCGTTATGAAATTGAGAAAATAAAAATTATGGCATTCGCAGTTCAGCGGGTTATGTGATATCCACACTTTTTTCAATGGTTTCTTCAAAATATCTTTATAAGACCATTTTGAAAAACTTGTTCCTAAATTATCCCGATCGTCATTCTGTGAAGAATATGTATGAAATATCGTTTAATGGCAGTAATAGTAATCCAAATAAGACTAAATAATCATTAAAATGTATCCTTACCCATAGTTTATGTATCTTATTGAAACTGATATCCAAAATGTCATGGCCATTCGACCACCAATCGTCAAATGCTGAATGAAATGCATTGTGGCTCAAATTTAATAATCTCAAATGGTACGTATGGGCGAAAGGTGAAATTTTATTGTGAACCCATGAGTTGTTCTTTAATTCCTTATACTCGAAATCAAGTTTGTTATAGGCCAAGGAGACAGACATCTTCTGTTTATTGTTACTGAACAAATATGACGATATTGTTTTCAAATTATTGTGTTCCAAATCCAAATAAATAAGACTGAGCAAAGATGAAAATGTTGATCTAAAACAAAGCAATGTTATTTGTTAAATAAGAAATGCTAAATGTAATTATAATATCGTTTGATGTTTAAATACTATTTCTTACCCACTGATTTCCACAAGAGAGTTGTAGCGTAAGTCAAGCCTTTCTAATCTTACCAAGGAGCTAAATATCTTTGGCTCCAATTTTCTCAGTACATTGTGACTTAAATCTAATTCGAGTAGGTTTATCTGATCATTGAACACTGCTTCTGGCAGGACATCGATGTCGTTGTAAGCGAGAGATATGTTTGTAACCGATGGCGAGTCGGCAAACACATCGTAAGGTAGTTTCTCAAGTCCACATCTCTGGATATAAATCAACTTTAGGTTTGACAAATTACCAAACATATACCTCGGAAGTTGTTGCAACTTCACGTCATTGTTCAGAATGACGACCGTTTCTAATTCAACATTGTTCTTGAACAAATTCTGCGGTAGCGACGAAAATTTATTCGAGAATAAAGTTAGTTTCTTCAATTTCCGGAGCGGTTTGAATATCGAACCAGGAAGTTCGTTAAGTCCATTAGAACTTAAATCCAATTCTTCGAGAACGTCCACCCCCGAGAAAAAATCTTTAGAGAACCAGGTGACGTTACTCTGCCATAATGAGAGTTTTCGCAAGAAAGATAAATGAGAAAATAAATTCGAAGATATATTGGTCATGTGGTTGTGACTTATTTCTAACGTTTCTAATCTCTCCAGAGGTTTCAATAGCTCTTCTGACAGATTAATACTATTCGAACGTATATTGAGCCAAGTCAAGTTATTTATATCTTCAAATAAATTGTTTGGTAAATGTGTGACTCCATTGATAGATAGTAATAATTTTGTTAAATCTTGTAATCCAGCAAAATGTTTTCTACTAAGGTATCCTGATAAAATCTTTGCATTTTGAAATATCAGTGCCATTGTTTTGGTCACTCCCATCCGCGTCAACACATCTTTGAAAGATGTTGATGGTATTGGACAGTCCTTGAAACTAACAGATTTGAACGAATTTGTAATATTGGCACATTTTGGTAATTTACTGTAATCGAGACTTGTGCTGTTCTCGCATTTTATATTCATATAAGTATTCGGTAGTAGATTTATTTTTACTATACGTCCTGGAACAAAAAAAAACTTTATTTATGTGTCAATCATTCTCTCATTAATTTTATATTTATTAGTAAACATAATAGTAAAATAAAATCAATATAAACATACATAATCATGCACTTTAAGTTAAAGGAAACCTTTAGTTAATCTTAGGGTACAGATAAGACACAATTTCTAGAAATTCATTCCAAAACGTTATAATATAAGTACATACCCAAATAAAATTAAGCAGCTATTTTTATGACCATACAAAATTATTATATCCCCTCAAACACTGACAGGTTATCAAAATGTCCTACTACCTACTCAGAATTACGAATAGTAGAAATAATCTTTTTTTCTCCTTTCGTTTTGAGATCAGGAAGAGATATTTATAGTAATACCTATAAATTGGAAATAATTGATACTTTAATGTGAATTAAATATATAGAAAAGCTATAAGTAACATAAAGTTATTTTTATTGCCATAGATCTCGTAGTGCTACAAATGCTGCCAAAGACTCTTCCTAAGAAATTTCGTAAAATTTTCTTCAGCGTGAAGGTAGAGAAAACTCATCTTTACATATCACACTTTTATAACACATTAATTGTCATGAAAATCATAATAAACAAGGTATACAATATCTATGTCAATTTTCAATTGGCTTTCAAGCCGAAAAAGGCATATCAAACCTATATTTAACTCCATGATCAAGGTACCTACCCTGGAATACAGTTAAAATGAATGCCGCGCAACATTCGACAGTTAAAAAATTGTCACGGGAAAGCCCTTTCGGAAAAATTGCAAAAAAATGTACGGCAGCTAAATTTAAGTGCACTCACCGTCGATATTGCAATTGAGTTCGACAGCGAGCGTGCCGCCGCAAACGCAGTTAGGGTCACTTGGGCACATGAGCCTCGACGCCCGAATTATTTGGAGCGCCAACGCAGTGGTCAGCGCGTATACAAATTTGCAACCCATCGCTAATCCTTTTACAGTCGCTCGTGCGTTTTACTTTCCAAGTGTGATAGTCGTTTCTGTCTCAATTATAGCTTTTGCCTCTCCGTTTTCATCTTCCATTATTGCATCTGTGAACAAAATGACTATGGGTTAAAATGCTATCTTACTGGTAACTGTATTTATTATTTATTTAGTTTTTTTTCTATTTGGTGTATGTTAGGTAGTTCACTTTTAATTTCTTAATTATGTTGGTATAATTTTATAAATCAGTTTTAATTTCTCAAACAAATCAAAAACTGTCACATACTTTTACTTTTATTATAAAAATCTCTATGTTTTTATTTATATTTTAAGCATTCAACTGCTAGACGTTTAAATCTAAAGAAAAGTTTACTAGAAAAAAAATCCACGCGGACCAGGCAGCGGACGGGACTCGAACCCGCACCCTTCGCAATCCGGGCGAATGTACTGACCATTATGCTACCACGGCCCTATTATAAATAATAATAATAATATATATAAAAATCTCTGTACAGCTTTATAGATCATTTGAATTTGATGTTGACTATTCAATAATTTAAATTGAGTAAAATAGTTTGATATAAACAACACAGTATTTCTGGGCCATCTCCTGCGTTACTGTTATTTTTGTAATTGTTTGCAGTGTCCTGCAGTTAAATGACCTTAATTTTAAGTATATATGTTGCAGTTTAGTATAACCGGTAAGGGAGTCATGCTCTCTTAAAAATCTTTTCGGTGGTGTCGTGTGTGTCGTTACATCTCCTAAAATATGGTTGTGCGAAGCGATGGCTGGTTCATGCGTTATTCTCGTAAACGGGTGCTGCCAGCGAAAATGAGTCTGCTCTATACTTCTTTACCATCGAAACATTATCTCGTTTTACCTGATAACAATAAAATAATTAATAATAGCAAATATTTCCAAGACTCACACCAATTAGCCTAGCTCCAAAGTAAGCACTGTAAGGCTTGTGTTATGGGATACTAGGGTAACGAATAATAGAATACATAAACACTACATATATAAGTATATTTTATGTAGAAATACATATTAAACATTCATGATTCGTATTCATCACACAAACATCTGCCCCCACCGGGATTCGAACCCGGGACCTCTCGAGTCAGCGACACCTAGAAACCCGGCGTACAAACCACTCGGCCACGGAGATCGTCAAACGTTAATAAACATTTATTTGTATTTAAACTGTACAACACAGCAACCATAATGCTAATCGACGATATTGAAGTCGAATTATTGTATCTTAATAATTGATTTTGTATTGACACTGTAACAAACTAATATTTTGTAAATATTGTTACATAATTTAACGCTGTTAAGTATTTTCGCCTGTTTTTCTTCAGAGCTAATAAATATCCATAACAGGTGGTAGGGAAAAGATTTAGACGATCCAAAAGATTTGTATTATGCCTCCAATATGAATAAAAGAATTATGACTTTGACAATGTTAAAAAAATAGAGACAAACTGAGCCCACTACATTTACTTAAAAACACATATACGCAACGTTTTTTATAAAGCTAAATGTTTGTAACCTAGCTGAATTCTTCTATTCACCTCGTCCTGAAAGTTGTTTCTACCTAACTGCAGTGTCTGCCCGAGGTATACATATTTTTGAACAACTTCGAGAGCGGCACCGTATATTGCAATCAGTGCCAGTAGAACATGTTCATTGAACATGACCTTGGGTTTATCCAATTTCATCCGTAGGCCGATGCGTATAGAAGAGTCAGCCAGGTCATTCAGCATTTTTTGTAGGTCCTGCAGGGTTTCTGCCATGATGACGATGTCTGCAAATCGCAAGTGAGAGATGCGTTCGCCATTTATGTTGATGCCACGTCCTTTCTAGTTCAGCATCTTGAACATATCCTCGATTGTATTAGTGAACACTTTCGGGGAAATAACGTCTCCTTGTCTCACTCCATGATGCAACGGTATAGGACTTCTTTGCTGATTCTGTACTTGGACAGACATGGCGGCGGCTTCGTAGAAACATCTTGGATGTATCGCCAGTCGACTTGGCAACGCTGCAGGGATTCCAGGACAGACCAGATTTTAATCGAGTCAAAGGCATTCTCATAGTCCACAAATGCTAGGCACAGGGGCTGATTGTACTCTTCAGTCTTTTGTATAACCTGCCGTACTGTGTGGATTTGGTCTATGGTGCCGTATCCGCTCCGAAACCCAGCTTGTTCCGGTAATTGGAATCATCAAGTCTTCGCGCAAGTCGGTTCACGACCAGAGAACAGCTTATAGACGTGGCTTAGAAGGGATATGGGTCGATAGATCTTAAGTAGGGACTTGTCCCCCTTTTTAAAGAACAAGACCACCACACTCCTACTCCATACCTCCGGAGTTCTCCCTTCGAATAGGACAGTGTTAAAAAGCTTTTGGAGCTCCCTTAGTACGGGTTTACCTCCAACTTTCAAGAGTTCTGTTGCAACACCATCCTCTCCAGAGGCTTTTCCATTTTTAAGCTGTCCAAGAGCAGTCTCGATTTCGCCAATACTGACTTCTGGCAGGTCTTCGGTGAAGTGGCGTGTTAATGTGGCTATAGAATCATGTGATGCGTACAACTGGCCGTAGATGTCTTCCACTTCCGAAAGGACTGCCGGCTTTGAAGCAACAACTTCCCCACTTGCTGTGGTCAACTTCGTCAAATGGCTTTTTCCAAGAGATTGTACGAACACTTTGGACCCTCGATTCGGCTCGATCGCTCTCTCGATCGAGAGAGTATTAGAGTACCTGAAGTCGCGTCGTACGTGCTTACTGATCTCTTGGTTTAGAGTCCGCTTTGCCGACGAAGTGACGGGTGAATTTTCACATCGTTCCTTCATTAACCCTAAAGTCTCTTCCGAAAGTATTGACTCCCTGCCCTTACGCTGCGTTGTACATAATCTCTTACCCTCTTCCCTGAGGGTCCGAATCACATTTTCGAGGTTTTGGTTTACGTCTGATGTGGTTTCCACGGCAGCAAATCGATTCTCCAGATTTGACTGGAACGTTTCAGATCCTGTTATATAAATTGGAGCAGAGTAGGTCGGAGCCTGGATTTCATCAAACGGACGCGCTCGGCCTTAAAGTTAATATTCAGAGAGCCCCGGACGAGTCGATGATCACTACCGGTATTGAACCTGTTGATCACGGAGACGTCTCTGATTATGTACCTGTTGTCCGTCATGATGAAATCGATCTCATTTTTAGTCACAGTTTCGGGGCATTAGCACATCCACTTCCTTTGGGGCTGTTTCTTGAAGAAAAAGTTCATCAGGAAGAGCCCTTCCCGTTCGGGGAAGTTGACAAGCATTTGCCCCCTATGATTTCTGCTTCCAAATCCATGGGATCCTACCACCGATTCGCTGCAATTCTGTACTGCCACTTTATCGTTGAAGTCTTCCATAACAACGTTGTAGTAGGTCTTAGTAGTGGAGTGGAGGGCCCTCGATATATCATCGAACATAATATCATCCACTTCGTCGTCCGAGTGTGTCAAGGTCGTTGCCTACACTTGCACCATCTTGAGGCTATACCTCTCGGTGAGCTTTATAATATAGTACACTACCCTGTTCGATACGCTGGACATTTCTACAACGTTATCGGCAAGGGACTTATTTACCAAAAACTCAACGCCACCTTGGGACTGTTGGTCTCCCCCGCGGAAGTACATTAGGAGGCTACGCAAGCAATACATTATGACAACGTAAGTATATTTATCTAGTTAGTAACTCTCTTTATCACACACGCACACACACAGGGAATGATCTGTAGTTTATCGTTAAATTATATTTTTCATATTCTGTTATTTCGTAATAACAGTCACATTACAAACGTTTGCTCGATCAGAAATATATTCCAGTACTGATTATTTATGGGCAGACTGACAAAAAGTGAAGCAAGATAAATTGCAGCAATGGCAAACACGTACAATGGGACCTTCGACGACCGATAGCCAGTTATATCGGTTCAGTGGACACGAGTATTTCGATTATTAATATTTCCTTTTCGCAGACCTGAACAAAACCGTTGGAAAAGCAATTTTAGTTGATTCTATTTTTTAAATTTTTACACAATTGCATTCTTATATTTTCGTCATAACAAAACACTGTCAGGTTTTTTTATACAACAACGGAATTGAGAAATTTAAATAAATATAAACTAGCAAACCAGTGAACCAAATGTTCACCAAAACCTGATTTCTCGAAAACCGGAAGTGCTACGTTACTCACATCCGGTTTGTAGTCTTATCAGACTATTCTTAACTTATAACTTAAATATTGTCTTTATCTATCTCTTACGGTTTGGCCGCTGAAACAGCACCACAGACAGACGGACTTGTCTAATAGATAAGAGATTACGAAAAATATACGTATATTGGTATCATTTACAAGTACCTACTCTTTGGCAAAAAGAGAAGTAAACGAAGTGATTATATTCCGTGTCATCTTTCGTAAAAAATCTATTAACTTGTTAGAATTCTTTTCACAGATGAAAGGCCATGTTATTTTCGTCAGCGAAGCAATTTCCTTAAACGTATTTCACAGGGAGGCAATAAATTTTATCCGATCCAAACCTAATCTAATGAAGGTACGTCCGTCTATTCACAAATCGTGCTTTCACTTTCTAATTGGAGGAGAGCCCAGAGGGATTACGGTTTCACTAAGGTTTGTCAATATCCGTATTACTAAGACTTGGGTCAACTGTAGGTTATTTTTATGGAATATAGAGAAACAGTGAAACAAGTTACCATGAGAAGTTGGATAGACTAGTGGTTTAGCACGTTCAGAACCACAAGCACGAACTTTGAAAGTTCCGTATTAGTATCGCTAACGTCAAAGTTTCTATGGAAACTAAGCAGCGCCCCTACCGGACGTACCGGAAGAACAAACTTGCTTTTTCCATAGAAACTTTGAAGTTGGCGATATAAATACGAATCTCTCAAAGTTCGTGCTTTGGGTACAGTTTGCGATTGTACAAGTTAAGCAATTTTTGCAATGACCAGTCATTTGGATGGCCATTTTGGGTTGGCTATTGGGCGACCAAAAATTTATTCCTAGGCTAGTTAGCATTTTGAAAAGCGTATAAAGCTTTC